ATATATATGTATAGCTGAGGTTATATGTATAATTATTTTCGGGAGTACTTTTATCTTGGTGGTTTTGTTAACATACTTAAAAAAAATTGTGGTTGGTTTAATGTTTTGGTATTTTGATAGTTTGTTTTTTTTTCGAAAAAATGGTATTTGTTATTCCCTTACAAATGTTTGGCGTTTTTTTTTTATATTACCAATTCGTTTATAACAGAATCTTTACTCTTATTTTACAAATGAAAAGAAATAAAGTTACCAAAAATCAGGATAAATATATATATATAAGAGAGAATCAAATAACCTGGTGTGAGATGAAAAGGTGTGTAAATAAGGAAGGAGGGAGTACGAACACATTCCTAATTTTCATCCTCTTTGAAATAAAACTTCACATTTCCTGCATATATATTTTTTCCACAGAGATTTGTACATATAGAATAGCTCAGTCTTAGGGATGTTCAGCTACACAGATCTCTTTTTTTTTATTGCAAGGGGTTTCTAAGCTTTTGTTCCCGTTATTATTATTATTACTATTGATAATATTCTATGCCCGTTTTCTTTCCGCCGCCATTTTTTTAGTGTCTCGACGCTTGAGAATTCTATTTTTTTTCCTGCTTTGTGTTTTGGGTTCATATATATATATTTTGTTTTTGTGCATGCAGATCTTCCTTTGTTTTTTATTATTTTTTCGCATTGAGTGTCTTTCGATTTTCCTTTTTTTTTTATTTATATATATTTTTTCGTTGGTGAGGAACAGACACGCATCATTTGTATCACAGTTGCAGTAAATATTTTTTTTCTTTCTTTCTTTCTTTCCTTAGTTTGGTGTTCCTTTGTGTCATTTAACTTGTTTTGTATCGCATTACGTCCGTTTTTAATGTTTTTTTCTCTTCATACCAAAGACTTTATAATTGCAGTATGATTTTATTTCTCTCTCTCGCTTTCTCTTTGTCTTTCAGTATTTTGGAAGATATTTTCTTTTCCAAGAATTTTTCTATGATACAGTGAGTGATTCCGGTCTGTGGGATGTGGGACTCTTTGATTAGTTTATAATATTGTAGTTTGGATTTTGGTGGGATGCCGTGTGAGAGGAGAATAAACAGGATTTTTGATTGTTTGTTTGTGTCTGTTGTCATTTTCTTATTTTTCATCTATATTTTTGTTGGATTTTTTCTCTTTCTTTTTTTTCTTCTCTCTCTCTCTCTCTCTCTCTCTCTCTCTCTCTCTCTCTCTCTCTCTCTCTCTCTCTCTCTCTCTCTCTCTCTCTCCTCCTCCTCTCTCTCCTCCTCTCCTCTACCTCTCTCTCCTCTCCCTCCTCTCCCCCTCCTCTCTCTCTTCTCTCTCTCTCTCTCCTCTCTCTCTCTCTCTCTCTTCTCTCTCTTCTCTCTCTTCTCTCTCTCTCTCTCTCTCCCTCTCCTTCTCCTTCTCCCACTCCCACTCCCACTCCCTCTCTCTCTCTCTCTCTCTCTCTTTTGCTTGTTCACGTTTCATACATATCGTTTCATGTCACTCTCTCTATCTTTCTACTTCCCTACTTTCATCTTTCTCTCTCTTTCACCCATTTTTCTCACTCCTTTTTTCCCACAAAAGATTTTCCTATCCAGGTCAGATGCCATGGACACATTATTTACAAATGATAATAATAGAAATGTTAGTTGTTATAAAGTTCACAGTGACTATGATCTTTAATCTCGGACGGTCGTGAATGATATCCCAGGATGCTCGTCGTTATTTTAAGGATTTTAAGCTTTAAGTGTCTTCAGTATTTAAAGATAGATAGATACCTTTTCAAACTTTTTTTTTGAGATTTTAGGGACCGTACAATAAACAGATTTCACTGAAAAGCTGTTTTATTGGTACATGTTTTATATGCCTATGTTTTTTTTAATCAGCTTGATATTACTTTTAGATAATTTAATAATACCACGTTTAATTCACGCTGTTTCGTGAGGCTGGCAAAAAAAAAGAAAGAATGTGGGTAGGTCCGTTGTCCCTTGCGAAACGCGGCGAATTACGAGCATATAATATTATTTAGTTTATACTCAGTTCGAATCTTTATGTTTTTCTTTTCTATTATAAGTCTTCTTTTCTATTAAGTTTAAGCCAAATGTGGGATTTGTTTTAGACATAAAGAGTAGGTATTTACTGCATTTAGAATGAATGTGAAGCTTACTTTTTTCAGATATATTTTGTGCAAGTTACCCCTCTCGTAGGTTTCCTACTCATTCAAATAAAATAAAAAAACATATTTTTATCCCAGTTTTTAGTATTAGTATATCAGTCATTATTATTCCCACGTTTTGTACCTAAGTGGGAGTCATTATATAGCTTATACGTAATGCCTAATATATATATGTGTGGATATATATATGGCCAGCATGTGAACCGTATTGCTGATTGCTAAGTTGCGACAATCTAGTCTCGCGCACAAACATTCAAGTCCGTATCGAGGTTAAAGAGAAAGAAAAATGCAGTTTTTGAAATGAATAATAATTGATTTTTTTTGTAAGTGGTTAATAATGTGTGAATACGTACGTATGGCTCTGATCCTGTTGATATAAAGTCTAACACGGCATCACACGGGTTTCCTTAAGGATATTTAAAAAACAGAGCATCATTTAAAAAGAAGAGGAAAAAGGGGCTTCAAAATTCACTTCATTTAAGCCTAAAATATCTAAATAAGGTAAAAAAGGACAATTCGACCACCATCCCTTACGCGAACGCAGATGGGCGAACGCGCGACTTACAAGAACGCGGCCTACATGCGAAATCACGTACGAGAGTCACTCACTGTATGCTTCACGTGTATAGTGTAAAATCTCATTTATCTATCAGCCAAGTCGCACCCTGTCCGTGTAGAACTATTGTACTTTTGTATGTAAAGTCAATAAAATGACTTATACTTACGTGTAGTTTATTTATCCTTGCTTTTATTGTTAATTGGTGATGGATAGGAAAGAGAGAGGGAGAGAGAGAGAGAGAGAATTTCAGAAGAAAATGCTTATACCAAACCTTACTCTGTCTCAAAATATGACTTCCTAAATGTAGATATAATTTAAACCTATAGAATAGAGAAATAACAAAGAGATAATATATATATACTTGTGTGCAACTATACATATATGTATATTTGTATGTATATATATCTATACATACATACATGCACAAAAACACACACCTACATACATACATGCATACACACACACATATAAAAAAATATATATATTATTATATATAATATATATATATATATATATATATATATATATATATATATATATATATATATATATATATATATATATATATATATGCTGTGTTTGTAGGCCTGCTTTTACATGTGTCTGTGTGTGTGAAAGAAAATCTATTGAGCAATCAAGAGTTATTTCCCAAACTGCTTTTGCAACCCTGCTCTCCAAAGACGATTAATACGAATGATTCGGGAAAAGGCAATCAGCTTAGCATGGGATTTTCTCCAGATTAAATAGCTGAATAAACCTCTTATAATATCCCTTCAACGTTTCTTTTTCTCTCTCTTGTTTCCACTCTTCCACTTCTTCTATCTTCCACTCTCTTTCTTTCTCTCTCCCTTCCCACTCTCTCTCTTTCACTATCTCTCCCTCTACTTCTCTTTCCTATTTCCTATTTCTATTCAATATTCCATTTGTTTCTGTCTTGCGTTCTGTTTCCTGTTCTGTTCTGTCGCAATTTCCAGATATACCACACAGACGTACACATATATATGCAGACACAAATATTTTAAGACATAATACTCTTGTACATAACCTGTAAATGTGGATAGCACACACACACACACACACACACACACACATACATATACACATATACATACACACACACACATATATACATACACACACATACATGTATGTATATATATGTATATATGCATCTATATACATATACATACACACATAGATATGTATATATATTTATAGATATATCTAAATATATAAATCATATATATACATATATATATATGTGTGTGTATATATAAAAAAAGAAAAGAAAGCAGTTGCATATCTCCGCTGACTGGTCCTGTGTGCACATGACCTCGCCCGCGGCCAGGTCATGCCCAGACAGAATCAGTCAAACCCTCTCCTGCCACCAATGCCCTTACCGCTGATTGCAAGGGAGTTGTCGGTCTTTTTCTGCGGCGTAATGGTGGACTATCTTTAAGAATATGTACTTTCTGGTGAACGTTATTTCGCTGCCTCTCCCGGTTCATTGTAAGCCGACCATCATGATCAAATAAGTTTTTTCATATTTATCGGTCTCTTCAAAATTTCTTCAGATTTCTTCACATCTTTTTATCATGCAAAATTTAATTTAGAATAAAAACGGACATGAAAGAAAATGAGAGTGTCAGACAAGAAGGAATGCAAGGAAAATCGACCAAAATATTTAACACAAATTTTACCGACGGAAAAAAAATTAAGTCGAACAGAAAACCAGAAGATGACTCAGCACTTCTCCTTCTCTCCCTTTTTTTTTCTTCTTTTTTTTTTGTTCCTTTGCTTAATTCCTCATGTTTCGACCTTGTAGCAGGATACCACAAGGGCGAAAATAAGGCCCAATCTCATTCCGTAACGGTTTTAACGTTTCATGTACTTTCAGTGGCGTTCGTTATGTGTGAGAGGAAAGTCATGCTACAGAAATTATGCAAAGTGAAAGAACAGACATGATGAGAGATTTCATATATTGTTTGGTAGTAAATGTTTTCTGTTCTTTTTCCGCCCTTTTTATCGACATCATTCGAATATGTCTGTCTGTTTTGGTCTATGTATAGGTATCTCTCTCTCTCTCTCTCTTTCTCTCTGTCTGTCTATCTATCTATCTATCTATCTATCTATCTATCTATCAGTCTCTAACTCTATCTCTTTCTCTTTTACTCTCTCTCTCTCTATCTCTTTCTCTCTTTCTCATTCTCTCTCTCTCTTTCTCTTTCTCATTCTCTCTCTCTCTCTCTTTCTCATTCTCTCTCTCTCTCTCTCTCATTCTCTCTCTCTCTCTCTCTCT